CACACAATTTATATATGTAGGTAGGTAGGTAGGTAGGTACATTATATATATATATATATATATATATATATATATATATATATATATATATATATATATATATATATATATTATATACATATATACATATATATATATATTTATTTATTTATTCATATATACTCACATTTATACTGATATATGTATATATGCATTTATATGTGTATGGAAATTATTATATCTAAACAATGGTGCCTACTCCTTATTTACTAATTCCAAGTCCATATCCTGTAAGCGTTCAACTGATCCACTGGCATAACCGGAACATGCCAAACACAAAGTCAAGTTCAACTAAAGGTCACATGAAGACCTAAGCACACTAAGTAAAGGTCGTCTAAATCTTTCAACGCGAAGTAAATGCCTATGTTTACAAACACCAAGTCTAGTCATGTGAATATCATATAAATAAATCGCCACACTTCGGAATGCCCTCTGCCAAAAATAAGCTCAAACTCAATTTAAAGTCACGAAAAAATCTTTAAAAATTATGATAATAAACCGCATTCACTCTTTTCTAAGGCAGGTACATTACCATAAAAATGCATCGTGACAATTCAACAGCAAGCATTTCCTGGTAATGGCTGACTTGATTCTTCACAGTACTTCATGCCATTCCAACTACTGTTTTCTTTACAGCCTCCCTACTATGCCCTGAACATGTTACATTTCGTTGCACATCCCTTGCAGACTTAATAAGGTTTCGCTCCATTATCCAGGCAGGTGTTGTGGACGTGGGCGGTATCGAAGTCCCGGCGTTGGAGCTCCTCATCAGCGAGGAAGCTCCTAAACAAAAACAGAAGTTAAAAAGTGGTATAGCAGAAGGCTATTCCCTGTTTTCTGAGTGAACTGCTGAAGTGTGGAGGTCCATCCATGGCCCGTGGCTTGCATACTGCACAGGCTGTCATCTGCCAGTCTGACATGATTCCCCAGACCATCTAAGGGATACAGACAGTTAGGACTGCAAATTCACTAAGGCATTACACTGCCATCATACCAGCCAAGATGCTCGCTCTCATCTTTCCGAAACATAGTAGTGACCACCTACTCTACTGAGGCACCAGAGACCAAAAATGTTGATTAATACCAGGTAAATCCACAAGACAAAATCATTGCACTGCGAGTCCTGTAGTGAGCACGGCTGTGGGTTGCTTGCAGCCTATGTCGATCTCTGGAAGGCATTCAGCTCAGTGCAGTCACTCTGGGAAATCACTTACAAGACTTCTGTCAAAAATTAGAGGATCAATAGCAAGCCTATATACTGCATGTGCTGCAACATGTGGTGGGGATATGTTTGGCTTCTTTCCTGTGAATTTAGTCTAGCGGGGCTTTTGCGCACCGATGCAATGCAACACTAACATAAACTGGATAATAGGTAAAGTTATCATTCAAAGGCAATGAAGAGCAACAAGGGTCAATGTCAAGGTCACTGACCTTGAGTTTGCCGATGACGTTGTCATCTTATCTGAATCTCTGAAAACCCAGTGGTTGCCCTCAAAGCATTTACCAGTTAGGCCAAGCCCTTGAGTCTATGGAGGTCTCTTAGACCGAGACCATGATCCAGGATTTAGATGGCATGATAGAAGAACCTGCCCGCCCGATGTATGCCATGCACTGAGGACACTAATCGCAAAAATCTTTCCATATCTTGATAGTGTAGTGCACGACTCTGGGCTGTCACACTAGAAATTCAATGGATGGACTGGCCTCGTGGCAGAAACTTTGTAGAAGTCAGCGCCAGTGTAAAAGGACAAATACATCTGCAGGGCTCTGATAATATCAGATGAACTGAATAAAAACGAAACTACTTTTTCTTGCGCCTTGGGGTCTCGTCTTGATGGCTTTTGCAACAAGTACAGTTGGCAGGACTGTGTCTAACAATGCCTTTGCTGTGAGACCAACATCGGACTTCCTACATCCACATAGGACTTACAAACACACGTGCATATTACAAAGCGGAGTCAGTTTTTAAAAAATCAATTCACAAAAAAAAGGCTCCTGGTTGGAATAGTCCCAAGCAGAATTTTGGTCCAAATGCAGCAATTCCAATAGGTGACCTTATGTTCTCTCAAATATCCCATTTACATCACTACAGTCCAGATAAAGAGCATACGGCATCGGTGCTGAATCACTGTATGACGTGCTACAGTTGAGCTCTCCTTAGCTGGCGGGTTCCTTCTTCATCAAGGCTGCGCTGAACGTGTTGCAGCTCCATCCGTAACATCGAACTATCAGTTAACGTCAAGTGTGACTAACAAGCTTCGATATGTTCCATTTTGAGATGCCAAAGTAGTAAGGAATGCAGCAACTCTACTGCATCTACTTCATTTTTCCTAACGCATTTTAAAAAATGCTGACTACGGTTCCAATAACACCAAGGCAATATGTTCTACAAGGACTTCGTGTAAGGAACAGCCACGTTACCGTTTAAATATTAAAGATTTGGTAAAGGAGTAAAGTGCTTGCAGCTGAATGATCTCCCTTGCCCTGTCAAAGTTCCTGTTTTGCGTCCACCGCCCGCAGGCCCCGACAACGCCCCCCCCCCAAAAAAAAAAAATATATATATATATATATTTTCAAGAAACTTCATTATTCACCCTAAAAATCGCACAGCACACCAAACACTTTACTCCCATGATTCCATATCGTCAAATCTGCACAATAAACACATCTTGCAACTCGCCTGCAATACGGTCTGCCATCACCAACGAGCTAGCTACGAAGTGGCAATTCGGCATCAGCCTCAGCGTAGTTTTCATGCCCTGATATGACTGATGTGTAGGCCTACATACAAGATATATGAGGACATGGGATATAGTTAAGGGAAGGCCCCAGGGCTGCTCTATAGCCATGCTGTTTTTTGTAGCACAAATTGGCAAATCAGCCTTCAAATGCTTGTAGAAATGAAGAATAATGAGAAATGGATTCACCACTATTAATTTTTGCCGGGACGCAAAACAGGAACTTTCTTTTTTGTGGCCTAATGTAGAACATAAATGCCATTCATCATAGTACATCATTTCTATTCCGTTGTTTGTGTTACTGTTAAATTTGAAAAAGACGTTTGCAATAACGTGCCGTACAAATGTCACAAATCTTGCATATTGCATTCCTATGCTGTAGGTCACTAGAATATAAACATTAATTCCATTATATAACACACGAGCGTTAAAACTGTTTTGAATCAGTGTAGTGAAAGCGCGCGGTCTGCAGGAACTGTGTGTACCTACCACTCTGTTATCTATTCAACTGATCTATCTATCAATCTGCATCCCCAATACAGTTACGATCTGGTTCATCTATCTCATAAAAGAAGTATGATCTGGATCCATCCTCAGACAAAGCTAGTGGGAAATCAGTTGTTCGTTTGGCCGGCAACACGCATCTGAGGACGCCCCATGCTAGGGCCTGGCGGTTTATCCTTCAGGCACAGGAGGAACTCGGGCTTTCAGGGACTCTCTCGCCCTGGGTCTCTGAAGGTCACCTGTTTTAATTTTACTCCATGAATCTAATCTGGAATCATTTTGATTGCCAATGCTCATTTTGCCATTTAACTTTTTTTTTCGGCAAATGTAAATACGGGTAATTTCTCACACCTTATCCGATCACGACGATTTTGGTATCGATGGATTCCTCTCACCCTCTAGTACACATAATGTAGGAATCATGCTTGCTATAAGGCAAAAGCTGAATACCATGCAGCAGTTCAGAAACTTCTGCTTGAATCCTACCAAGACATCAGTTAAAAATAGCACTTGGCACACCGCTTACTGAGACCCATGTGGTGATCATGCAAAAACCAGCAATGCATGACCAGCACAACTGATCCCTTCTGAGCTCGGGAATGTCACGGTAGAACTAACTTTGCCTTTGCTTTTGTACAGACTGTCTATCCCTTAGCCACAACCCAAGACTGGTCAGGTTACCTAGACTTCAAGTCCAACTTTTGCAATTTGCACATGCCTGGTCATTTCTTCAGCCTCGAAACAAAGCAGGTTTTCATTTACTGATCAACCAACTGATTATTATAGGTCCTGATATACCTTCCTAAAGGACAGTATAGTTCCTTCTTTAACTAATGTAACAGCAAAAGCTAGTTTACATGTTAATTATGTCCACTGTACATAAATCTCTTAAACTTTCTGTGTAAGTTCTGTAATACTTCAATACTACAGTACAAGACAAGAAGTAAAACAAATGAACTGGGAATGAAAAAATAAAGAAACCTGCTGACCTGTTTCTGATAAGTGTCAGCTCATCAGATCTCAAGGTGAACTTTTACCCTCCTTCCTATCATACTATCCTATAATACACTACAACCTTTGACATCTAACACGTTTTATCCTGACCGTTAACTCATTCTTATCCTTTTCACTACAATACTTTACCATAGTGTTATATGACCTTTGATATCTAGTACATTTATTTGTTTCAACCCTTTACCATTTTCCATTCTTAAGGGGACAATCCCATGAAAAAACTTGTCAATATTTTCAAGAGGGAAAATAAGCACCAATCCAATAACTAAAACTTGTAAATGATATTATGGAGGAAAATACACAAGACCAGACCAAGCCAACAAACATGGTTTCCTAAAAATGAAGGGGAAAAAAAGATAAATGCCACATGGACCTTTAACATAATCTTCACCTGAGAACCTCTGCCATCTAGTTATCATCACCATCAGCATCAAAGTCATCACCACCACAGTTATCATCACCAAAGTCATCACCACCACAACCAGTCAACACCAAAGTCATCATAACCACCGCCAGTCATCATCACTACAGTCAACACCAAAGTCATCATCACCACCAAAATCATCATCAGTCATCACCACCACCACCCACAGCATCATAGCAATAATGTTAATAAACCCAACAACCAATCATTAAAACTATGACATCATCATCAACAACAACAATAATCCCAATGAATATATTAAAAAAATGGTCATTACTTACAAAACTGGGGATTTCTGCAGGGTAGTCGCTGCTAAACAAAAGATCCGAAGACTTTGCAC